TGCCACCATACCTTGCAGCCCACCAACTATGGCCTAAAACCTTCACAAAATGTGAGCCAAAAAAACCCCCAAAAAACAAAAAACAAATCCCAAAAAACCACCTCTGCTCCTTAGAGTTACAGGTATCAGGTATTGTGTCCCTGCAACAAAGAACTAAGGCAGTTTCACAGTTGACTTTTTGTTCTTGGTCCATTTGAGATTCCTTTTTGATGTGTAAGTTGGTGAATCTAATTTTATCTTCAAATGACAAATTGGCTGTCATCCTATTATGTATTAAAATATTCATCTTTTCTTTAGTGAAGTGAGAAATCACTTTGAGCAGATAATAAATTTCCATATGAATAAAGATCTATTTGTGGAAGTTTCATTTTACTTTACAGGTCTACTGTCTGTTATGATGTGTCCAGATGTGCCCCCAAAGCCTCATGCAGTCATGAGGTGAGCTAGTTTATGACTGACCAGTGGTCCAGTGCTGGAATTATGGGTGTGAGTGCGAAACCCCTGCTGGGGCAGAAGCCTACATGTAAGGGAAGGAAAGAGGCTTGCTCTTGGCTGCTCCCCACTTTTTGCTCTTGACGCTTTTGCTGTTTTCCACTGCCATGGTCTGCTACTCTCTGCCATGTGCCACTCTGCCTTGGAGCCAGCTGGGTATGGACTGAAACCTCCACAAACTGTGTTACTTTTCTTCTTTCATTCTGAGTGTCAGATATTTTGTCCCAGCAACAAGAGAAAAGTAACCAAGACACTGTTCATGCATCTAGACCAAGAATAGATAAAAACAAGATTTATAGTAACATTTTAGTAACTGTGAAGTCTATTCTCCCCTTGTAAACATTCATTTCTTTCTTTGAACATTTATATAAATTTTAGTATCAATCTGTCATATTTTTATTACCATTTTGTTAAAGATATAAATCAAGTTAGGGAAAATGATGTTGATAATGTTGAAGAATGGCTTTCCATTGTTTACTCCTATTTTGTATCTTCCAGGGCACTTTTCTTTCTTTTTAAAGACTGGCTCTTGCTATGCAGTTCAGACTGGCTTTGAGGTCACTTTGTAGCCCACGCTAGTCTGGAACTCGCAATGGTTTTCCTGCCTCAGCCTCCCCTCTGCTAGGATTATAGCCATGCACCACCATGCCCAGCCTCTCTAGGGCACTTTGAACTCTGTTTCCTAGGAGGTTTGCATAATTCATAATTTAATTATGAAACCTTTTATTTTCTTGGTTGTTACTCTATTTTCTATGATTAATGTGCACAGATCCATAAGGCCTACATTAGTTTTCTAGTACTAGCGTTTCCATCAGTGTTTCTTTGTATGTCCTGTAGCTTGTTGCTGAGAAGTACTCCACTGTGTGTAAGTGCCTTATTTTCTCTGTAGACAGATACAGACATATACAGT